AAAAAAATCACTTTACAAGAAAAGAAGACGACTCTTCTAAAACTCTTTTTGGAGAATCCTACTAGATGCAGTCCTTGATTCGTGATGACCTAGTGAGCTATGCAAATTAATGCATATTAATTCGTGGATTTACTTGAGTGGTTTCGCTCTATAACAACGACATGGCATGGTTCTAATGGTACCTAATATCACCATTTTTTGAAGCGCAAACAATTCATAGTATTCACAGTGGCATACTAAAAACAAAAAAATGCTACCTGCGGGGAACGACGGACATCATGCCTGCAGAAATTCGAGCTCTGCACAACGCTGCTCATGACCATTTCAACGGTGTTGGTCAACCTGTTCGCCGAAGCACGGCAACAGTGCTAAAGAAAATTTCGATGAACCCTGTGGACGAGAGTCAAATGGCGCCGGTATACAACCTCGAGAATACCCAGGTTGAGTTTCTAAAGATAGAGCACATCCTAAATTTTGTGTTCTATCGCGAAGGTAAACGACGACCACCACAAGGACTTTCTGTACCGAACGCTCTCTTTGGCATAGCCCCTCCGGGTGCGGGCACGGGTGGAGCAAGCCCGCAAGCCAGGAGCGTAGCAGACAATGAGAGGTTGGAACAGTTATATGACTCGGATGACGACCTGGACCCTCCAGAACCGCGCCAAGACGAGCGACCCGTCGAGGGCCGTCCTAAACGGGGCCGTGAGGGATCCCCACAAAGCTCCCCAGATGGTCAACAAGAGTCGAGACTCTTCGCCTTAAGACAACGACTCGGGGACGACGCTGAGATGGTTCAAGACATTGACCAGCTGATCGCGTTTCGCCAGGCAAACCTGAACAAAGGGAGCTCGAGGTCACTGGTGAGTGCGGCAGTCAAGGAAACCAAGTCGCAGTTCAGACCAAGCGGGCAACAATGAGCTGTGCACAGCACAATGGTTAATGGTACGTATTCCTGCTTGGATGATCAGTTGTTTGTAGAGACAATGCAGTCTCGATCCAAGGGTTTTGATTACTTGCCACACCCGGCCGTTGCACGAGGATTCTTTGCCTGGGATTTTGGATTTCGAGGGCTTTCGATTCGACATTTTTCGCCAATGGACGTGGAAGTGGAGCGGGATCACCTGAGGCGCTACGATATGACAGATTTTTCAGTAAAGAACAAGCTGCCGGAGCCCCAGGAGTCTAAAGACCTCGCCGACGTGGTAGCAGCGCTGGAAGTGCTGTCCTTGCTAGTGAACGAGATGTACACCCAGAGGGTAGCAGATTTGGTCGACGCAGCCAGACGGTTCTTGCTGGTACTGCGGAAAACGAAGACTATGCAAGGAGCTGAAGCTGTACCAGAGATAGTAGCTTGGATCGACGACCGCTTTTAAACTTTCCGGTCCTTCTTGGCACAAGGCGACCTTGTGGCCGCAGATAGTGTAGGCACTCACTTTCAGTTCAACCACGAGTCATATGCGCGAGTGGTTCAACGCGTGACTAATCTCAAGGTGGAAGCAGCTCTCAAGTTGTCCGCAGCTCAAAAGCCAACATCTCGCCAGAAGAAGTCGAACATGCGGGCAACAGCTAACAGCGGTTCTCGCCACGGACGTGGAGCTCCTGTGCCTCAGGAAGTGGTGGCTGCGCTACCGATTCGAAAAGGCAAAAAGCTGTGCATGAAATTTTTGTCAAGTGACGGCTGCCCTGGTGAAGGGGATACGTGCGTTTTCGACTACCGAGGACACTTCGTGCCAGTTAAGTTGCCGGTGATTGTGAAAAACTTCATCATTAAGAATTATGGAGGACTGCGGAACATGGAGGCACAAGCTACAGGTAGTCAAGCGGAGGTTTGAAGGGGGCATGAGGAGGTCCGGAGTGCAACCATCCTCAGGCCAATAGAGAAGCCTCCATCCTGCTCCAAGTTCAGCGCGGACGATGATAATGAAGTGAATTGTAGCTTCACCCCTGCCAAGCTACAAACGTCTCACGCAGTGACGTCGGGAGAGTGCACGACCTCGGCCAGAACGCTATTGCATAACAGCTGCAGCGCCGTCGAAAGGTGCAACGTGACTCAGGTTCACGCAACGGATGCTGTTTTGCCGCTGCACGACAGTTGCAGGCAGGTCGGTTGGCCCCATGGGACTCCAGTTCACGCTCGGGGCGTTGTTTTGCCGCTGCATCAGAATTGCAGGTCGGTCGGTTGGTCCTCCGTGGGTGGAATCCCCGAAGGGCGTGATGTTTTGCCGCTGCATAAGAGTTGCAAGTCGGTTCGGAGGTCGCGTGCGTCTCTGATTCATGGCAAAGGCGAACAGGAGCGTGTGAACGTATCGCAGACTGCCGTATCTGGTCGACTGCGAAATTTTTGACAGATCAACAGCATCGCTACACGCTGACGCTTCGAGCAAGTGAAAAACTTTTGAGCCTTCAACACCTTAGTGCACGTATTGGCCTAGCCTCGGTCATGAAGCAATATGGTGTGGATCCGCCTGGGGCCTCACCAACTTGGATTCTAAAGAACGGCACGCGAAGATCTGTGGCCGGTTACGACCCAGGTGTCAACGCAGAGCACGCGATTTTGCTGCGTGGTATCCGAAGATTTACAGATCCGGTCGTCAAGCAGCAGCCAGTCACCCCCCTCGCTTCTCCGAAATGTTTTTCTTCTAGTCAATGTTCAACATGCTCGGGGGCAACTTCTTTGGGGTGGGCTGCTACTCGCATTTTTCTTCCTTCTACGCAAATCTGAGTATCTGCTTATTGGCCGAAAGCACCACCGGTACGCGCTTCGACTCGGAGATATTGTATTTCGGAACGAGGCCGGGCAGCACGTGAGTCCGCGGCAGGCAGAAGTTGTGGGCATCCGGCTGTCAGGAGCCAAGAACAATCAGTTTGGACGTGAAGATCTGCGATTTCACAGCCGCTCAGGAGATAAAGTACTGTGTCCAGTTAAAGCTGCACGTTGGATACTTAGAGAGGCACGTGCATTCGCCACACCGCCCGACCAACCGGCGCTGTCAACAGGGTTCGGCTCGGGAATTACTGCGGAAGAGGTGGCAGACACTCTCAAGCAAGCTGCAAGTGCGCTGGGTTTGGAAGCTAGGCTGTATTCTACCCACTCAGTCCTTATTGGAGGTGCTACGGAGCTGATGAACTCTGGGGCGGATCGACTGGTGATCAAGTTGATGGTCAGATGGTTGTCCAATGCTTTTGAAGGATATCCAATACTCTCGGCGAAAGGATCCAGAGGTCTCGCTCGGTTAATGTGCAAATCGACCTCGAGCTAAGGGCTCAAGCTACACCTACGAGACAAGCAGAAGTACCGACTATCAGAGCAGGGTTTCTTCTTTGGGGAGAACGGACTGTGTCTTGGCTGTTGATTGGGGCTCACCACTCCACACCCCGAGATGCGAGTCAATAAGAAGTCCACTTTCCCCATACGGATCTGTGATCATTGAAAATGGTCGGTTCCCCCGAACAAGGCACCGCAGAAGTAGCGGAAGAGGAAGGCGTCTTTTTCGGATCGCAGGTAGTATATTTAGCTAGTTGTAGTACCGTTGGGTAGGAGCCCAGCGTCCCTGGCTCATTTCTCCTCTTTCTCTGCTCTCGACCCACCACTCCACACCCCGAGATGCGAGTCAATAAGAAGTCCACTTTCCGCATACGGATCTGTGATCATTGAAAATGCGTGCAGGACTCTACAAATCCGATAAAACACATGACCGTACATATATATGTGCAATAATTATGATGCTATCAAAGCGAGACACACTACTATTTTGTTTCGCGTGAGCTTCACAATGGTGGCTAGGCAGGTGCAAGTACTTGTAAAAGGTGAGTGTCCATAGCAAGAAGATTCGGGGGATATCAAGGACACTCACCTTGGTAAAGCTTTAAGTTCTATAAATATCGAAAAATAAAAATCCAGAAATTTGGACTATTTCTAGCCAAACTTTACAGTTTTGTGTTGTTCAAAACTCTTGAGCAAGAGTCGTGGTGGTACCCAAAAAAGATAATCAAATCATGTCAACGTGTATATTCCTCGTTGAAAAACGAAGACTTTATAATTCACCCAGACATAATGCAGGTTTTTCATATTGGCTTGTGCTGCAATTTTGTGAGACCTCGCACAGTGTTACACCCCCTACCTTGGTGAAAGTCCTTGATCAAGTGGATCCATGCTTCTCTTTTATAGAGAGGGAGAACTATCATTTTGTATTAGCAACCAAGTCATGTTGACGGCCTTGCTGCATGTAATTATTCGCTAGGTGGTTTAATGGGGATGAAAGTTCCGTCCAAAGTGATGGCAGCATGACTAAAAACCAACGAAACGTCTTCTAAGCTGCCCAGAAGATTCAGCATCGGAGTCAACATATCAGTGTGGGAGTGTAACCCGACCACGCGCTTGGTCGTCTCATCCCAGTCGAAGCGTACCGATCCGCGCATGACAATGTGCTGATCCACTACTTTCGCGACGATCTCTTTCCGACGCTTACTCAGAGTCTTGTTGTCATCTGCCAGGCTCCGGAATAAGTACTGAAGCGTGTGATGGGTAAGAGTGACTCTCGTACTGGTTGTAGCAACGAGAGCACCACGTGTCAATTGTTTCAGACCCTGCAGCTGGATATGGCAATCGGGGAATGCCAGCGTGAAAATCTTCCAGCTTCTCACAAGATCCTGGAGGCCTGAGGCGTTTCCTGTTTCGATGTCTGGTGCCATGCTTGCGCTCAAGAAATTTAAAAAACGCTCCTGTGCTGCTTCTAGACCAGATAACCCGTACTGGAGGACGCGGAAGTACTCGACCGCAACGAACCATGCTGACTCTTTCGGCAATCGCTCCCTCAAGGTGAAGCGCTGGAGTTGGAGCTGCTCGATCTCATTTCGAAGTTTTGGAATGGAGTCCACGAGATCTTGCATCTTTTTCTTCTTCTTCCTGATATGGCGTTGCTGGATTAGATTGCGACGATCTCGATGAGCTTTCATGATAGCATGCAGCTTCCCCATTGTGTCTTTGTCGGCTATAGCGCGGATTTCTTGCATAGTCAGTGGACGTTGCATCGTAGAGCATTTGCCGCTATTTGCCGGGATCCGGGCGGGCCGGCTCCGATCGGCCACGCCAGAGCTACTTCGCTGCTCCAGTGCATCGTGCACGTCTAGACTGGCTTTGGCAATGAAATCGCAATGCACTGGCCTCTTCCGTTGGACGACAGTACCAATGATGTCGTCCCTCATTGCTTGGTTGTCCGGAGGGTGGCAAAGGCTTTGCATTGCGGTATTCTTAATCTGATAGCAGCTTGATCGATGCGTTCAAAATGACGGAATGACCACTCGCTGAAAACCGTCTCGGCGGTGCATTACTGTACGTGTATACGGTACGTTGGTAAAACTGATTACGTACAGACCTGCACATCTGAGGAGATCACAATAAGATCGATTGGACTTCGCTATACTGACGTGTCGACTCGCCTACACTACACTAATGATTCTGACGAGGACGAACTTGCAGCAGCGTAACGTAAACCGTTAGATGAGCTTGTTAGTGCCGCAAACGAGATGTTGATTACGCGGACGTTACATTATCTCGGCAATACTTCGTCTTGCTTGGTTGAATCCGTAACAAAATAGTATTTCGTAATCGATGCTGTCGAGGATCAGCTTAACATAGTAGCAAATGCCTGAATATTCTATATCTGCGCACTAACACTCGAGAAGGGATTGTAATTGGTATCATCATCAAGCGTCTAGGTTGAAGCAGAGCCAAAAGCCAATCACGATGTTGCCATTTTTAGAACGACTCGTTCATTTGAAGCTATCGATAAAAGTCTGCCAGAGCCATATCAAATCGAACACAAACTGCGTCAATTGTGTACGATCAACTGATTAAAAAAAATCACTTTACAAGAAAAGAAGACGACTCTTCTAAAACTCTTTTTGGAGAATCCTACTAGATGCAGTCCTTGATTCGTGATGACCTAGTGAGCTATGCAAATTAATGCATATTAATTCGTGGATTTACTTGAGTGGTTTCGCTCTATAACAACGACATGGTATGGTTCTAATGGTACCTAATATCAACATTTTTTGAAGCCCAAACAATTCATTTTCACAATTTACTGTAACTATGTGTAATGCGGATACGACTCGTGAGCCTCTTGCCACCGTAGGAAGTGGTTCAACTTTGGTTGTGTTTACTTCGCTTTAATAACAGAGGGTCACCACCGTCGTTAGGATGGCCATAGTAATTCGGTTCGTTCGCAGTGGTAGTATTCACAGTGTCATACTCACTTGAATCGCTGTCGTCTGGGCCCCGCGGGGCTGGAGTTGGACAAAGATATCCTCGGCTTTCAGGGCGTCCACTGTGGATCTGGGGAGTAGGTGCCTCAGTATTGTATTCACAGGGTTTAGCTGCTTCAGGCGTGGGCGTGGGGTAAGGGTAGCCACCACTATTGGGTCGCTCATAGTAGATAGATAAATTCGCATAGGCCGGAGCAGCATTGAAGACAACAGCGGAAGAGACGACTGTCATCATGCCCACCAGAGGGAAGAGCTTGCCAAAGTTCATCTTGGGTGGGGGCTTGCAGTGGTAATACAACGTCAATTGAGTAATAGTGGTGGTGCAGACTGCCTCCTGAGCAACGAACAGCGACGCCCCCTTCTCATGTATAACCCTTTCACGGTAGCAATCCTGATTGCTCCCACGGTTCTATCCCAAGAACTGCTGAGTATACACCATCGCAATAAGTAGCTTCTGGACTGCTCGGCACCACTCGCTGAGCTCCGTGCAGAGTTAATCATGCTGTCAATGCGATACTGGTCATCAGCCACCACAATTGATTTGAAAAAAAA